CCCCCCCCCCCCCCCACACACCTGTGACCCAGCGATCAGCCGCAGGGGGAGCCTGGGTGCCCCTCCCCAGACCCAGAAGGCACCAGTCGCTGAGCCGGGGGGACATGGGGGCACCCCCCTGCACGCTCCCATGTGGACCAGGAAGTGGACCAGAAGTGCTTCTGGTCCACTTCCGGGTTTGCTGCCGAGTGTGCTGGGGAGCCCCCCATGCTTCTGTGGGATGCTGAATCTGCCCCAGCAAGGCATCGTTCAGAGGCCCTACTAACTAGAGGTATGTAGAAAAATAATTTAAAGCTGTATTTATGCCCGAATTGCTGAATCTGTCCGACTTGACTCAGAGAGATTAAAGGGTTCTCTGATTTGATTCGGATTCAGAGATTCGGTCCCGAATTGGGCTGAATCTCCGCCAAATTGAATCACGGAGCGAAGCTTCGCACAGCCCTACCAAATGGCTCTTGACTAGCCCTACCTTTAAGCTACCCTCCCTTTGCTCTTTCCTGCCATGCCTTGGTATTCTTAATAGATTTGGAAGGGAGGTTGCCCAAGAGTCTTAGAATAAGTCTTGGCCTGTCTTCTGGTTAGTGGATCCCTCTTGGATCCCACTTATCCCAATCTATTCTTGGGCTAGATGGGCTCTCCTGGCCTGAACACACCTTGCAGTATACCAGATGCCTTATGAGCTATTCATGGCCTCTGACCTCCCCTATAGCCATGCCCACATCTCTCAGATGTTATGCATCATCATTCAAGTGGGATAGAATAATTGAGACAAACTGAAGATGTGAGACACATGCTGTACAACCATCTCATGGCACACAAACATCTGAAGTCATGCTGGAGCTTCCTCACCAGCTCCCAACCTCTGAATGCCATAGCCATGGAGACAAAACTACAGATGTGGAATGAGAGGCTGAAGAGAAAAAATACCTGACAGTGAAAAAATGGACATTTCAGTGGCCAAGTCCTTGCAACCAGGGGCTGATGAACCATGGCAAAGGTTCATCCATGGCAAAGGATGACTTAACCACCTACATACTAGAGTTGGATGCTCCAAGAAACTAATAAAGTGGGGCTACACCATTGGTTCAACCACTTGTGACTCCAGCAGAGAGTCCCAAACTATGCAACACCTGCTGCGATGCCCGCTGCTTGAAGGCACATGTACAATGAAAGATCTTGCAAAGTACAATAAGCGAATACAACCATGTGTAACAAAATGGTTAAATGTGGTGTAGAGACATGAGAAAATGATTCAAGTGCTATACTTGTCCCCAAAGCCACCAAACCACCTTCAGCTTTTCCTTCCTTGTTGGGGTTTTGACCTTCCTGGCTTCCACCCCTCTATGTTAGATGGTCCCTTAGCCAAAGCCCACTGTCCCAAACCCGGCTTCTGGGCTCCAGCTATGTTGGTCAACAGTCTCTCTAGGCCTCTGGCCTTTGCGTCTCTTGTTTTAGGCTCCTGGCCCCAGAATTTTCCCTTCTGGACAGCTGGCCCCTGGCTCCTGTCTACCCCTTCTGGGCCAATTTCACCCTTGCTGAGGTATGGGCCCTTGACCCTGGCTCTTGCCCCTCTCTGGCAGTGGTCAAGCCCTCTTGGGCTATAGGTCCTTAACCCTAGTGCTTGCCCATCTTGGGCTAGGAGTTCACCCCTCTTGAGCTATGAGTCCTGGACCCTGGTTCTTGCCTCTCCTGGGCTACAGTAACATCCCTCATGGACTTTGGGCCCCTGGCCCTGGTTCTTACCCCTGTAGGAAAATATTGAGCTCCCTGGCTTCTGTCTTTGCCCTGCTAGGGCTTAAGGCCCACTGCCCCAGTCAGTACCTTGACCCTGACCCTGACCCTGACCTCTGGCAGGGCTCAAGGCAGTCATGTGCCCCTCAGACACTAATGGGGCCTCCCAACCATCTGTACAGTCCCAGGCCTGGTCCACCAGTGTAATATTAGAAAAGGGCAAGCAACTGCTTAACACACTCCTTTTCTTTTGGACAAACAAACATCAACAAAGGAAAAACACACTACCGCTTTAAGTGGAAACATCACCTCCCTCCCTTCTCTCCCCCCCACCGTAAGCTTTCCACTCTTTACTTGCAGTCCCAAGTGTAGCAGTCACAGGCATTAGTTCAGCCACAGCCATAGTCCTCTCAATGCAGGGCTCCTTCCCAGGTAGCCTGCCAGCCCCTCCAGCAACAGCCATCACTCCCATCTCCCTCTCTCTTTTGCAAATAAATAAATAAATAAAAATAACTTGATAATTGGCGATGATGAAAGATAACTATAGTATAGTGTGTGTGTGTGTGTGTGTGTGTGTGTGTGTATATATATATAGTGTGTGGAGAGAGAGAGAGAGAGAGAGGGGTGGAGCACCAGTGGGTTGCTCGCCATTAAGGGAGGTTGCAAGCTCTGTGAGAGCTTGTTGGCTGAGCAGCAGGGAAAACCGTCCCCAGGTAACATTTTACAAGGGAAGGCATGTGTCAGAGCACTCATGGTGCTCTGCCACTTTAAGAACTGGGCCAGGCAGCAGACAGATGCAGGCCAGTCCTGACGAGCGCCCATCTTATGACTCAGGCCAGCAGGGCTGGAGTCAGCAGTTGCTGCCTGGTGCTGAGGAAGGAACATCTCTTGGTGGAGCTGCTGCTCCAGAGACAACATGGAGGTAAGGGCAGGAGCTATGGGACAGCTTAGAGGCTCCTGGTCCTGGACTTAGAACTGCACCCTGCCAGGATAGGGAGGCCTGATGGTCCTGCCAGTGGTGGGGCAGGGTCAGCAAATGCCAGGTTCAAGGGCCATCCCATTGAAAGTTTGGGGTGCCTTAATAACCCCTGCCCCCACCATCTGGTGGGTGACTAGTAACATCAGAGGGAGTTAGGGCCAGGTATGTCTATGTAGGACACCTGAGCCTGATGGGGCACAAGGCCCAAAGTGGGTAGTGGGGCCAGGCATGCCCATGCGGGGCACCTGAGGCCGTTTGGGGTGCAAGACCCCAGTAAGAGGGAGATGGGGAGCAGGCATGCCCATGGGTGGCACCTGAGACCTTTAAGGTATAAAACCCTGGGGACAGAAGGAGAGCTGTGGGCCAGGCATGCTGTCAAGGGGCACCTCCCTGAGCCTGTGGGGTGTTTTGCTCTGGGCCCCAGAGAAGGGGGCGGAGTATTGAGTTGAGGCCCTGTGAGAAAGGGGGCTCAAGTTGAGGTCCTGTTAACTTGAGGGGCCGAATTTGGTCCAGGTAAGCCTTCAGGTGCCTGAGGCCACAGGTGGGCCTGAGGTCAATTGGAGGGCAGCAGAGGAGAAGCCGTGGAGAAATAAGGGGACGAATCAGCAGCCCTGTATGGAGAGCAGGAGGGGGAGTTACCTGGCTATGAGACAGGGGCAGAGTCTGTGCAGTATTTTGCAAACCGCCCAGTGTTTGCTTGAATGAGGGTATCAGGAGATGCCCAAAAGGCCTTGCGCTTGCTGGCTGGGGAGTGAAGGGAATCAAGCCCAAGGACCCTCCAGGTGAGGGTAGGGTGTGTGTGGCCCCGGGCAAAAGGAGGGGTGGTACAAATGAGGCCCAGCAAGGGCAGTATGAGAGAGACTGTGAGAGAGACAGTGAAGTGTGCGAGGCCTCAGTGAGAGGGAGGCAGTATGTGTGTGGCCCATAACAGGGCAGGTTGTGAGAGGACTAATACTGCAATGAGTTGGGCCTGGCCTTAGGCTGTAGCTTTACACAGTTGTTAGAAACATCTGCGAGGCATGGCACACGTAAGGGAAAGTAGGAGTGTGTACTAAAGGCCCTAGACACCAGGGCCCAGAATGGGTAGCTTCCCACCTAATTAAGATTGTAATTACTAAACAGCAAGGTGTGGCAGACGAGATAGGAGGGCAACGTGCCCAGAGGCAGTGGGAGACCATCACTGTGGCAAAGGTGGGAACTCCCCAGCCAGCCAGTGCTGATCTCTCTCTGCCTCTGGGCACATCACCTGCCTATCTTGTCTGCCACACCTTGCTGTTAAGTAATTACAATCTTAATTAGGCTGGAGGCTGCCCATTCTGGGCCCTGGTATCTCATCGTTGCTCTCTTTGGAGGGCTAACCTCTGAACAGTTTATGCCAGTCCCCTCTCTTCCACATGATATTCACCATCTCTTGCCCATTATCTTCGACCAACTTCCTGTAGCACCAGCAAGAGCCATCTCTCAGCAGAGCTCTTTTCCTTTCAGGTTCCAGGGCTAGACAACTTGCCCTGGGTCAGGCTCTGGTTTATCGATCTCCCAGACTCTGTCCCTTTCTGGTCAGGTGACTTCCCTGAATTGGCTAC